ACCAGGTCCATCTTTGCCCTGGCCCTGTCCCAGTGCAATGGGGCTACTGGCTCCCTAGGGCAGTGAGGAGCAGAGAGCTAAGCAGCATTGGGACTGGGGAGCTTCTGATGGGGCAGCTGGTAGTGAGCCCCAGGCTTGGCGGGAAATCCCTCACTCAGCTGGAAGCATCCAGGAGCTGTCACACTGGTGGGGCAGCTAGCAGCCAGCCCCTGGCTGGGTGAGGGCTCCCTGCCCGGGCGAGGGCTCCCTGCCCAGCAGGGGGCTTGCTACTAGCTGCCCCACTGGTGGGACAGCTCCTGGCTGCCCCCAGCTAAATAGGGATTCCCCACCCAGCCAGGGGTTCACTGCTGGCTGCCCCACCAGTGCGACAGCTTCCAGCCACCCCCAGCTGAACAGAACTCACTGCTAGCTCCCCCATTGGTGCACCAGATTCCCCACCCCACCAGAGGCTTGCTGCCCCCATCCAAGTAGGGGGCTGGGAAAGAGCTGCAGGGGAAGGAACTCTTCCCAATCCCGATGACCCAATCAGGGCATGGAGCTGGGAAATTACTACAGGGGAGGGGCAGGTCCCAGCCTTGTGCCCCAATCAGGCAACCAGGCCTATTTACTCTGGCTGCAGCTTTCGGCCTGGGGTCTCTTATTCTGGCCTTGGCTCAAGTGTGCTTTTACTGTAAAATACTGGGTTGTATTAACATTAGTGTCATGTGCAAATCAAAGGAAGTGATTCTTCTGCTTTATTTGTTACTAATGAGGCCTCACCTGGAGTTGTGTCCAGTTTTGGGCCCTGCACTTCAAGAAAAATGCAAACAGATTGGAAAGAGTCCAGAGAAAAGCAAAAACATTATTAGAGGTCAAGGAAACATAATTTATGTGGAAAGCCTCAAAGCTAGGATTATTTATTCTGGTGAAGAGAAACATGAGGGAGGATTTAGTATGTTCAAACACCTGAAAGGTAATTACAGAGAGCCTGAAGATAGTCCTGTTCCCTACATCTACAGAGAACAGGATAGGAGCAATGGCTTCAAACTGCAGCAGAGTAAATTTAAATTGAAGAATAAATAATCTGACAATGGCAGTAGATAAGCATTAGAATGGGCTACATAGGGAAGCTGTGGAATCTCATCCCTGGAGATTTTCAAAAGCAAGCTAGACAGACACCCGGCTAAAACAGTTCAGTCGGGAATGATCCTGCCTTGAGCAGGGGGCTGAACTACTTTCCTATAATCCCATGTTGTAACCCTTTGGACAAGAGTGTTACTGGGTTGGTATTTTGTAGGTAATAAACCTGACTGAGCCTTGGTCAGTGAACTAAGCCTCTGGCCATTCTTTGTGTAAAAGTAAGGTCTCCAAGGGAATACACACTGCATGCAGTAGCAGCACAGACAACACCCTGACAAAGCACTCATAAGCACAGAACTAAATTGACCAAGAAAAAATGGAGGAACAAAATATAATACTAATTTTTAAGGAAACTGAAAAAAATTACAACTTTAATTTGTTCTCTGTTGAAAATTATATACATAGTTAAAAAAAAACCCACACAGCACAAAAACAGTATTTTTTTAATAAAATACTATGATGCTCATATCTATATAAATAGATATTACAACCATTAAACAAAGTGTTACATTTAACAGTAGAAATTTCCAAAGTTTGAATAAGATTGTGGTTTGGGATATTTACATCTGAATGCAACACATTCATAAAAATGTCAAAATAAACAGAACAAGATCTTATTCGCAATTGCAAGATGACATTCTTGATTATGCTTATTACACATTTTACTTTATCCATTACAAAACAGTAACTAAGAGTTCCATTGGGACTGCATCCAGGAGATTTGCAGATATAGCAAAAGGAGTACACTAAAAGATCCTAAACTGAATATAAATAAAAAAATATTACATTTTGGAGAGGAACAGCATCTTAGATTAACTGCTTATAGTGACATTCTTATTGGCTTTCCCTCTTACTGTGTGAGAATAAGGAAATGAGTACAATACATTTCCATTTTAGTTATGCCCATGTTTATGATCAGCAGAAAAGTGGTTAGCATAGTTAAAAGTTGAGTTGAAAGCTTATACTAAGTTCTTTTATGTAAAATAGATTTACACACAAACATTTAGCTAGTTTAGAGTAAAAAGTGTTGCCCTACTGTTTTCACTTTATCTAAGGAAAAGTGGATATCTGAAAAAAATAGCAGTGCTTAATAAGAAGCTGTGTATTTAAAGTAATTGTTAACATGGAGAGAAAATGGTTTTGTAACACAATGGCCTTGTTTACACCAGGACATTTTTGCTAAAGTTTTCAAATGCTGTTATAATGGATTCAGTCTTCAATGTTATTAAAATTAGTGGACATGGGAGTTTTGACAGGGTACAGGCAGTTGCTGTCATTCTAAGGTCTGTGTTGTGTGGACCTGCTTTAATGCAGCATAAAATAACAGTTGTGACTGGTTGGGGTCCTGTGTGCACTAGCACATATGGACCAAGTGGCAAAGCTGGACCAGTGTAAAAATATCAGAAAATCAAAGACAAAAGCAATGAATGGAGCCCAAAATAGCAGTTGAAGCTAAAACATAAGAGCATTTTGGTATTAAAAAAATCTGACTTCTGTACTTCTTCCATGTAATCTTCCTTAGCTAAAGTACAGTTACTATTAATGGGAGATCTCCAAAGGGGAGAAAAGATCACAGCTCTTAAAAAATACAATTGGTTGATAGTAGCTTTTACAAAGAATTTACGAAGAAAAGCCTGTGGCAAGCTGAACCAGAGTCATAAACAGCTCATAATATTTAAAAACAATAGTAAGTCAGAAATAACAATTTGACTTCTTTTCCCTACGTGTATGTTGCAGTCGCTCCACTGACTGCAAACCCATGCTAGACCACTTGCTTTCAACTGGATAAGTCCCCTCACATGGCAGTAACTGCACACTTGTAATGTGTAGTAAGGAAGTCTGGGCAAAATTTAGAAGGCTCTCTATTCAGACTAGCATAGCACTTTGCAGAGAGATGCTATTTTACATAGACAGCAGTCTAATGTTGGAATAAGGAACATGAGTTGAAAGACTTGGGTTACAATCTGGTTCTGTGACCTTGAACGAATCACTTCTCTTCTCTGTGTTTGAGTTTCCCTAGCTACTAAAAACAGAAATGTTTGCACATCTTTGTAAAACTCTTTGGCTGGCATTCAGTTCTTTTTTGGACACCTAAATGACCAGATCTGGTCATTTATATGATTGCCTAAGTGCCCAAGATGCCATTTAAGCACAGGTTAACGTTCTACTACTAGGTGCATATATAGCTGTTTGTATGAGCACGGCTATGTGTGCAGGACTAGAATGTCAACCAGTGTGTTAATGGCATTTTGGGGACTTGGACAACAATGTACATGACTAAAACATTGTCTGGGCACCCAAAAAAATGAGCAGAATTCCATTCTTGGAACTAAATTCTTCTGATGAAAACTGTTTTATAAGTGTAAAGCATTAACATCTAACTTATTGCTTCAGGTTGCTCCTGCTCTTATTCTCCTAAACCCCTCCAAGAAAATATCAAAATGTTACACTAAAATATATGCAAATTTACTTCTTGAGTCTACTTACACTGAGTTTGTAGAACTCATCTGGAGAAAGCTCAAAGCTACAGAAATACACGGTGCTTGCTAGCTATAGCAATACCATCACAGTTGCATGGAGCAATATTTTATAGGTTGATAGACTCAGAATTATATCTATGTTCTTACCCTTTTCTTTGCAAAACCCAGGTCATTTTGCATGTAGTTTTTTTCATATCTTTTCCCTTCAATTAAAAAAAGGCAAGCAAAGCCACAGATTAGCAACCTTCAATAACAAAATAGTACTCACAAATGAACAAGAGTAAATTACTTTCTAGGATTATCATCAACTATTTTTGATGGAAAATAATATTTTTAATTATTTTTATAATATACTCTGCCTTTTTAATTTTCAGCTGATCTGTAACAGAAACAGATGCCAACAGATATCTGATAGGGAGAACATCCAAGGAAAACCCTATTTATATTTTAATCAAACACAATGAACTTGCATCAATTTGCATGCCACCTCTGAACTTCTGGACTTCTCTCTCCAAAGAAGGTATATAATAATTCTAAAAACCAAATTAATTGATAGGTTAGACAAGCCCTTTTTCCCAATGAAATTTTCCAGAAATCTTATAAAGACAACTAGCTTTGCATCAAAGCTTTCCCATCAACCAGAAATCTATTATAAAAACTTCAGTGACAGAAGAAACAAATGCCTGGTACCACTGGAAGTACTTCAGATGCTAAGTCTTTCTACCTGCCCATACACAATGCACTGAAACACTTCTCCCCACTTGGGCAGCAGCTGACATGGTCTCCCCAAAACAAAGACACTTCCTGGATTCAATTTAGGTATGAGGAAGAGAAGACTATTCTGATACTGCCTGAGGGTGGGCAGGAGCCAGGGAAGGAAAAGAAACAGGAGCCGTGCTTCCAGAGTTACTGCTCCATGAAGCTGGAACAGCCCCAGAGAGAGGCGGGGACAAGAAGAGACCTGGATGAGGGAGAGAAGTGTGACGCAACACAGGGGGGAGCCCAAGCGGGAGTATGGGTTGCTTGGAGCGATGGAGAGACAACAGACAGTAAATCAAGAGACTAAGAAGAGTCTTACAAGCCAGAGAGAGAGAGACTCCAGCTGAAGATCCGTTGATGTAAATGAGGTACAGAAACCAGTTAAATAGATGGAGAACCTGAAAGCCTTGCAGAAACAAGTAAAAATTCTCCTTTACGTTTTTATGTTAAAAAAACAAAAAGAAACAAAAGTGAGTTGGAGAGTAGTAAGGACTGCAGACTCTAAAAATTGAAACCCCGATGCAGACAGTCGGGAGAGACATCAGAAAGACTTTTGTTATTTTATAGACGTATCCTTAAAAGAGATGAGGGTACTGAGCAACCTCATCTCAAAAGGGTTTTTTTTCTGTTTTATTTATTTTAATTTTTTCTAAGACTGAACGTTGTAATTGCCAGAGTCTGAAGAAGTTGTCTGTTAGGAATTGGAGAAGAAAAATCCAAACTATTTAAGAAAACATAGATTTCATAGACATTAGGGTTGGAAGGGACCTCGGAAGATCATCGAGTCCAGCCCCCCGCCCGAAAGGCAGGAAGTCAGCTGGGGTCATAGGATCCCAGCAAGACAAGCATCCAATTTTCTCTTGAAGATGTTAATAATTTTTGTTATGTAATTTGAATAATAAAAGACAGTTAAAAGAGAAAAAATTGATCGTTGTGAGTTTTTACAATAAGAATTGCTGAATTTCCATAGACTTGGAGGAACATTCAAGAGTTCTGTGCTACAAGATAAAGTAACATATTCAGGTTATATAGTGGTGTTCAAATCCCTCCCTCCTAACGAAAAGCTTTTTATTTCTATCAAGATGTGGCAGGCAAGAATCAGGATCACCACTAAAATATAAACTGGTAATTGAAATTTTTATCTTATTATCATCTGTGACCTAATTGTAAAAGAGATGGGAAAAGATATACCTTTACCTAACTACAATGAGGCATACTATCTCACATTAGGACAGCAAAAACATTGCACTCATTGGTACGGCTAGTGTTTCTCAGGCACAGTATGGTCACTGGGAAAAAAGCAAAAGGTAAGTAATTTATAGTAAAAGGGACTTCAAGGTCATTCTTTCCCTTTTCAATTAAACTAACCTTAATTTTGTAATACAAACTATTTAAAGCTTTTTAACAACATTTAAATCTCTCTGCAGTCCAACCACCTTAGAAAGGAATGAAGAAGAGATATGACTGCTTTCTCTTTCTCTGCATTTCTCCACTGTCTCAGTTACTGCTCTCATATCATTTTTCCCCACAAACACCCAAGAAACTGTGAAACCTGTAAGAAAATTACTAGCCCTATATATCAGAAATAAATTAATTAAAATGAAAAGTAGATACCTATAACAAGACACCTGCTTGCTCTTAGACCGCTGCAGAGACTTAGGGCACACATTAGGGTTAGGGAGTTTAATTAACATCACAACCTCACAGCAAGGAGACTACATTCCCATTTATCAGTAATGTAATTTATTAACCCTGGGAGTGACTGTCAAAAACCAGTGCAACACTGAGTTAATTAGTACTGTCTTATACTACTAATAGGCATTGAGGAATGGCTGCTCACAGTTATACAAATTGGAAAGTTAACATTTACTTCATATCTACACACATGCACATACTAATATGTATTTAGTATGTTTGTGTGAATCTATACATGCACACACAAAATGCATATACACGTCTTAATGCAGTAGGAAAAGAAATGCTTTCATTCATACAATTCCAATCTTGGGACAATACAACATTAAAGTTTGTACCCGTCCTAGCTATTACCAAAACAGATACCTAAGGAGATTGAGCACTTGGCAGCTTGCCCAAAAGACCAGACTTAAGTACAGACAAGTCTTGTTAACTCATTTACAAACTAGGAATATATTTTTCCCTGCATTACAATAATATAAAGGTTGAGTAACTTCATTGAGGACTGTGGAGTTCCACTGCTGCAGTTTTGAAGCAAATAAAAATACAGTTTAACCTATTAGTGTTTTTATTTCATTTCTTATTCTTACAGAATACTAGATAACAGCAAAACACAAGCTGTATGGAAGTAGATAATTTTGAATTCTGGATTGCTGCCTTTTAAGTAGATATGGTGGACAATAAGTCTCTAATTCAGGCATCCATAAAGAATATATATTTTGTAGTCATTTAGCTGGCAACTGGAGGTCACTGTTTCCTTCCACAGAAATACAGCTGCAAGGCTGTATCTTGAAGTGAAAATTGTGAGCAGTCTAAGAGGGAAACATGGAAGAAAAAGAAGTTATTACTTTGCACTCAAGTGGCAGAACTGTTCCCCCCCAGAAAAAAAATGGAGTGCAACACATGCCAAAACAGCATTCATTATATGCCTCAAAAAAGGAGGTGGTTCATTTTTAAGCTCTCTAGAGTTTTTTATGCTCCTCACCACATCTTTGCACAGTACTCATCCTAATCCTAGACAAATTGCTATGTCAATTTTAATAAAGTAATCAGGACTGGTTAACAAATCATTTAACTACTTTTAACGTTTAATATAATATAACACAGTATAAAAAACCTGCAATGGAATTTGGTTGGAGTTCAATAAAAATTATCACAACTAAGTGGGGCAGAATGGAAGGAAAGCCCTCTTTCTGCACTTAATAAGTTGTTTCTATAAAAGTCATTTGGTTAATACTATATGTAACATGAGAATTACCAGGGATCCTGGCTTTGTCTGATTAAAAAAAAATTTTTTTTTCGGTTAAAAAAAGTAACTCCAAATCCACATTTTTCCATGGTTAAAATGAAGCATCACTATATATATATTTATATATTAGCCCTGTATCCCCAGTGGCAAACACATACAACAAAATTTAATCTGGGTGTAAGACCAATAAAGCCAATAAAATTATGCAAAGAAAGAATCTATTCCACAAAGTTCACAAGTTCTCTCTAATTTTCAAAGAGCTTAAAGCAGCTGAGTATTAACAGCTGTGTAGTTCTATATGGATGCCTGAAAGTATGAGAAGAAATAAAGCAGTATTTAGGAACTTTTTAAATTCAGTCTAATTTTATTAACTGTGGATCTGATTTTCCACAGCATTGTTTCTTTAGCAGTCATATACGCTTTCTAACATAAAATGATACCAAATCAGAACAGTTGTGCTTTATGAAAACTACACAGGCATAAAACAAGGGTCAGCAACCTATGGCCTGCAGGCCAGGTGTGACTTCCAACCAGCCTGCATATGTGGTGATGGAGGGATTCAACTGTGGGCGCTCTCCCCATGACTTGGAAGATGCACTCCATCAGAGACCTAAAACATTATGCTAATTTCTACCCCTATGGTTCTTGGTTAGAATGGTAACCTCAAACTGTGGCACTGACAATTGTGGATTGTTCTGTTTTCAAGTTAAACTAAAGAGAGTAAACAGGTGCTTAATTTTAAATATAGAGACATAAAGCATCAATACAGTTAGTGTCCTAAGTATGCTCCCTATCTTGGTTGGAATTGAATTTCCAGTTTCAGACAGTACCACTTCCCTTTGATTTGCAAGCTGAAGCAACATTAAAAATGGAGACATCCTCAGGCATATTATAAAAACAGACATCCATCCACTGCCAGAGCAGTATGAGTCCTACTCCAAATAAGAATCCAGCCCTCAATCTATAGACAAAATTCTGGCTACATCAGTGTGGGCATAGAGAGGGGGTGAAAAATAGGAAAACTCCATTTTTCAATCACATCTACCAGAGAGATGAGCTAGACTCCGCACATCTACACATGCACCAGACTGCGCAGTTATTACTGCGCAGCCTCAGTGGCACATAGGTCATTTCCGGCCCTATTGCACAGTAGGTTGTTGCTACCGCACAATAGCATCAGTGTCATGGTTCATGCCCATCAGTGCTACATCGCTGTAGTGATGAGCTACAGCATCCTAGCTCACGTAGACATGCCCACTGTGATGATTCACAGATACAATGAGGCGTTACATGGTTCTCCTCACCCCACAGAGATTTGACAGCAGCAACTGGATTAAATCATGCTACAACAAGCAGGCATTTGAAGCATTTAATGGCTTTGAATTTTCCCTGCATGGAAAGGATGCCTCAGAGCAACTCTGGCTGTTAATCCTCTCTACTACACTGTAAAGGAAAGAGGGGAAGGGGTTTGTTTAGAAGCAAAACTAATAGTTACTATTTCTGATCTTAAGAAAAAGTCTTGCGTGATCATTTTCAGATGCATAACAAAGAATATCTACCTTACTTAAGACAACAATTTTACAGAAGTCACTAAATAAATATCACTTACCTAGTTCCTCCCTTATTTTCGTTTAAAACCATGGGACCAAAATTTTGCAAAAGTATTACAGACAATTAAAAATCTTACTTAACATTCTCTCCCCCAACACCACACACATTACCACGCTCATATTACTAAGCAGTTCCCAATATACCATGAGCTTAAATCCTGACACACTAATATATCCACAGTCACACTGGCTTAGATAAAAGGTGCTGTATAAGTGCAAAGAATTAACGTTTATTTAGGATCCTCATCCTGCAATGACACAGAGTAGGCAGACTGCTGTACCTCCAAAGAGCCCCATTAATTTCAGTGGGGTTCCACTTAGGCACAGTAGTCTGCCCACTTGCTATCAATTACAGGAAAGGGCCTTAATCCAAAGAAAGGAGGAATGAAAGCATAGATGTGAAGACATGGATTTGAAAAAAAAAATGGAGAGAGAGAAAGAAAGACAGATTCATTTTGAAGGTGCTAAACAAGGTATAGGAAAGATATACCTGAGGTAACTTGCAGCATACTAACAATAAACAGATGACAACAAAGAGGACTGCTGCATCTATGTTGATATCACTAAAAGGAGTAATAAATTACACTAACAATGCAACACACAGTGCAGCAGGAACCAGTTACAAATCTGAATTAAAATTTTCTCTTCGGAAAAAGACATCGTCATATTTTAAGGGAATTTGAGTATTTTAATTTTTTTTTAGCTGCTGAAGCCAAAAACACACACAATGGGTTTTCCTGAATAAAAGTCAGCCTTGAGTAGAGCACATGTGACAAATTCTACCAGGTAAGAAAGCCTACAAAGGTGTCTAAATTAACACCAAGTTGACTTGTGTGCAAGGCTCTGAAATAAACTTACCAAAAAAGAAAATATATATATTTCACTGTACCTTCTGGGCAAATTAACCAAACATTAAAATAAAATCCAAAACATTTGTTTCCTTCAATCCCATCTCCCACAAAATTGAAATTTTACTTGATGCTTTAGATCCAAGCACTGAGGGTGGCAGTTAGCTCAGGACAATCAATCAGATTATTGAATGTTGCAAAATCAACAATCAATACCTTCATAGCTCTAGGCTGTGCACTCTTACTGTTACTAGTAAGCATTATAGGCACTGGTACTTGAAAGTCAGTTGATATACAGTATGTACATAAGTAAGCACTCAGGTACACACATCATTTTATACAAACAGTGTTGCTATGAATGTCTCTTCAGAGATGCCAGCTAAGATCTATATTTATCTATAAACAACTCATCAGACTCCATGTCAGCCTATTAGTTTTCATACAGCTGAACTGCAATCATGACCTAGAATATGGCTTATATTATGGGCCGGTCGGTTTGAAGATTGTTTGGAAGAATCTGAAGCCGATGTGTTTGCTATTGAAAGCAAAGGTGACATTGCTGAACCATCTGGAGGAAGAGCTGTGGCTATTTCTGGAAATAAAGATGTCAAGTTAAAATTGGATAAGTGTGAAGTGTTGGTCATGTGCATTGGTGGCATATCTGGGAGAAGAGGAAAACTTGGCTGAGCAAAACCAACAGGTCTGGGAGGAGACAAAATGGACCCAAATCGATTGTTTAAACCTCCACTACTAGACTTATCTGTGCTTGGATTAGGAAACATTTGATTGGGAAAGTAGGGGATGGAAATGTCATTTGACAGAGTGGGATGGGCAGGAGAATAAGGTGGGTAGAATGATGGCAGTGTATTCTGAGGATCTACTGGGATAAGGGCTGGTGTTCGAGTGGCACTGGGCTGAGTAACTGGTGGAATGAAAGATGTATTGGCATTTATTGGTGGATTCATACCACCTTCTGGAATAAAAGGGAACCCAAAATTTTGAGAGAGAGTATGCTGATCAGGGACTGCATTATCATTAGACACTTGTGGGCTATCCGACATAAAACGGACAATGCTGCCTCTTTTTTCTACTGTAGATTGTTGGCGCCCAAGTATCATACTACCACTGGTAGACAGAGGAAGATGGGGAAGACTAGGGTCAAAGACATTTCCATGTCTTTGATTTCCAGATCGGTTCCTTTCTGGCTGGCGGATTTTAGAACCATTATTATCATGCAGAGGATGCCTGGATCGCTGAGTGACAGAAGAATTTGGTTGACGAACAGGTGGCTGCCCTTGCTCTGCATTTCCATGAGAGACTGCAGGGTGAGGGAGAGCTGGCCGGACAACCCCATGCAGGTTACTAGAAACAGGCGTATTCATGTGGCTCTTGGTTCCATGACTGTCAGTCATTCTCATGGGGTTGGACTTCTGTACAGAAATATTTGGGCTTGTGTTTCGACCCTGAATATCTCCCGAGGAAGAAGAACTTGAAAAAGGAATATTTAAAGAATTGTTCCTAGTATTAATTGTACCCATAGACAAGTCACAGCTTTCCCTATTCTGAGCTTCACCATCTCTTCGGATGTGAACACTCTCTCGTGTGGGGGGACAATTATATTCAATGGTGGAAGATGCACCACACTGTGTATTCCTTTGATGTTCTGAAATTGATCTTTGGCTTCCAGTAACTTGATCTCCAAGATGAGGGGCAAGTAAACTCTGCATAAAACTTTGGTGGCATGTGTTTTCATTGTCCCGTGGTAGAAGAGCATTTCCAGTTGGAATACCCTGAACTGGCTGATAAGGCAATCTCTTTTGCCTCTCTATGGGTTGCACAGTATTTTGACTAATTCGAAAAACTTGTGACTGCATGCCTCTGAGGGATGACACAGAATTACCAATGTCACTATTTCTTGAGGCCTGCACATCAAAATTGCCTGCTGATTGCTGGCTAGCTCCACCTGGCTTAAATGGCTGACAATCAGAAAGCCGCTGCACATCTGAACCAACTACATGGTCTATGGATATACGACCCTGCATGTTATGAATTACCACGCCTTTATTCCTAGAGACATCAAGGTAACTTCTCATTTCAAGTTGGTCTGAAACCCTAGGGCCTTGAAGAGGCATACCTATTCTCTGTTCAGAGTTAGACGGTGTCTTTCCAATCAGTGCCTCTGCAGAGTAACTAGAAACTCTGTTTCTTTCCTGCCTGTGTGGGGCACAGGTCATATCCGATGGCCTAGTTACAGCACTCGGCTGGGACACCATTTGCTGCTCCAAACCTCTTGAGGTCATAAGTCTCTGCATCTGGTTATGCCCTGATACATGTTCAGAGGAAACTCCTGAGGCTTGCTGTCTGTTGCCAACATCTTGTTGCTGATGCAGAATATCCTGATTTATATGGCTCTGAGGATGATTATGATGGTTTCTGCTTGTTGCAGGGTTTTCACAGTTCTTTTCAGGGTGAGAATTTCCAAAGTGTTGCTGCAATTGCTGCTGCATTTGCTGGTGGTGTGGATGTGGCTGACCATTTTTTTGCCGACTTTGATCACTACCATGGTGCTTCTGCTGCAAAGAAAGTTGAGTGGTTTGGGTTCCTTGTACAAGGCTTCGTTTCTTTTGCATTTGCACCTCCTGTTGAATTGTTCTTTGTTGGTGGACACTATGGGGTTGCAAATGAACTGAACTCTCTGCATGAGGAATGTGATGCTGCATCTGGTACAAGTGATGTCTCTCTCTCAGTTGTCCAGCCTGCTGCTGTTTTAAGTATGGGTGATTATTATGAATATGCGATATGCCTGGGGCAGGAACATGCTGAATGGACTGCAGATGTTGACCTCCTGTTTGGCTTTGCTGCTCTGATATTGAAGGCTGAGAACTGCATTGAACTTCAGTTTGCCTTACAGTTGTTACAAAACTGTTGGCAGATGGGAATAATCTATTAAGGCCATCAGTGTGCCCTTGATTGCTCACTGACACAACTGGATTGGATGAACTGGGAGGCATTTGACTAACCAGCATTTGACTTTGATCAGCTATACCATCTGATGTTCGGTTCATCAAGACCATGCCTTCCAGCCTGATAGGTGTCGTCTGACACTGCTTTTGCCTCTTTGCTGTAGAAAGCAGAAAGTCATCTTGCACAGCACGCTTAGCTGCATCCTTGAGACTTTCATGGGCTTGCTGCTTTAAGTGTGGTTCTTGTATCTGGGATGCTTGCATGGGGTTTGCCCTAATAGCATTCAGTTGTTCTTGAGCATATTCAGTCACCATAGCTGGTCCTGGAGATGGACTGACATAGGAACTAGAGGATATGGAAAGATTCACAGTTGCAGGAACAGGTGTTTGCTCTGAGGGCTGGGATAAACCTGAGCAACTCACAAGAGGATGTATTATGCAGCTTTGATGTATAAGATTATTTACACTTAAGCTAGTTACGCTTGGTGAGTGGGATGTTGAAATCTGTAAAGTGTTGGATATTTCTACCCCTACAGAACAGCTTGGTTTTTCAGCTGGTCTTTCAATATTTGTTTGCACTGAATCCTGAGCACTGAATTTGCTGGGTGATATTTCCAACTGTCCTGCACTGTTCTCCTTAGGTGGTTGTAGTTTAAAAGACTGCTGCTCTCTCTCCAAAGGTGCAATTTCAGCAGACTTATCCCTTATATTAACTTGTACTCCCCCTCCACCTTTCTCAAGGTTCTCTTGGTCAAAAATAGCTCTTGCTGCAAGAGCTACTATGTCAGTTTGCTCTGAAAATGTGCAGCTGCTATATGTATTTGTAGACGTGCTGCTGGTAACATCTTCCTTAGATGTGTCTGGCAACATGGATGCAACTGAGAAGCTATGACTGCTCCCAGAGCTAGTTGACATTGGAGAGTCTGCCTGTCTGCTAGCAATAAGAGAACTATTAACCACCTCTTGGTCAGAAATGCAAGAATGGTGCTGTGTGAGAGTATCACCTTCTGTGTTCATTAGCAAGAGTTCCTGCTTCTCAGGCAAACTAACATTTGCTTCTATTGTTTTGGAGTTTTCTGTGGGAAAATTAGAATGTTCAACATGAACTGCAAAGGAGGTTTTTTGTCCAGCTGTTCTTTCTTTAGTAAGGTCAGACAACATTTTAGTTAGACCGTGTCCCTCTAACAAATCTGTGCCTTGCACTCCAATTGAAGAATTCTGCCCTATGCTGCAGGTCTCTGAAATGGCTTCTGTCTCAGAAGGATGGTTTGTTGCACTACTTTGTGCTCTTGGTGTCTCAGGAATCTGAGAAATTGTTACATGTGCTTCACAAGGAGAAGACATTGAGACAGTAGGAGTTGCATTGGATTTGGACAATTCCAGCAATGCAGAGTTGGGCAGTGGATTATTTTGAGGCTTCCATGCTTGTTGAGGGATGGAATTTTTGGAACTTGACTGAACCAATGCAAATTGTTCTGACATCACTGATTTCAGTGGTGAAGAAGTAGGAATCTCTGTTGAGCTTGGCTCTGGCAAATGGCCAGATCCCATCATCTGTTCAGAATTATGAGCTTCTTTGGAACAGTCATCAGAAATGCTTACAGGACTTGGTGCTGCCATACTTTTTGCTTGTGATACATCTAAGGTTTGTGATAGCACAGGTTTATTTTTAAGCAGCCCTTCACTATTTGAACACTGGTCTGTACCTTCCACATTAGTGCAATCAAGCTTCCCTACATCTCTGCAAGGAACTGCTGGACATGAATTTTTGCTAATGGATATTAAATGTTTTTTTGTACTCTGTTTTTTATTTGTCCTTTTTGATTTTACATTAGATGGCACACTAGCAGGTTTTTTGGGGGAAGTGCTTACTGAATGAGAAGCACTGGGTAACACTGTTGAACTTTCAGTAGCTATGGAAGATATAGAAGTTGGTAGTGGCACACAGTTTATTGGGGCAATCTGGCTGCTGGCAGCTGTGGGATTAGTAGGCTGACTGAGTGGCAGCTGTAAGCAGCTTTGCCCAGCCATTTGTGATATACTTTGATTGAGGTTAGCTAAAGCACCAAATGTGTTGAGGGCAACATTAGTATTTGGATCTTCGCTGGTGGTAGGTTGAATAATTTGCATAGGGGTCTGATTTGAAGTTCCAGATGAGGACATTACAGGTTGCAATGCAAACAGCTGCCCATTTAAAGAGATGGTCTGAGGATGCTGTTGATTTGACATGGTAACAGAAAAAGTTTGCGTAGAGCTAGAAGATGGTAAAGAAGAAGGTCTTGGTAATATATGGACAAGATGCTTCCCTCCAAATGTTTGCGGAGCAGAAGCATTTTGCACAAGGTTGTTAGAGTTTGTTATTGAACTGGGTCCATTCACAGGAACTCTGACAGAACCAGGGGCTTGTGCAGAAAGGAGGGGAAGTGGATTTTGATTAGCTGTTTGTATAATCACAATCTGCTGGCTAACTGTTTGGCTAGAAACTTCAGCTCTCACTATTGGAGGACATGGGGTAGTGTTTGGTGGCTGGAGAATTATGACATTTTGATTAGCTGGTGCTGCAGTAACAGCTGACCCACCAACTGGTTGAGCCATCTGAATTACCTGCATAGCTGAATTCAATGGAAGTATATTTCCTGCAGGCTGGGCCTTAACCTGTGGCTGAGTGATTAATGGCTGCACAGGTAATGATGGGCAAGAAGGCATGGTAACAACAATTTGTTCAGCTGCCTGTCTGTCTCCAGTCAAAGAAGGATTCAGACTCATGCTTGAAGTCAAATGCCTATTGGAGGTGGAAGATACTGAACGAGCACTAGTTACTGGCTCATTTAATAATGCAGTCATTAAACCAGAAGGAGTTTGGCTTAGTGGCTGAACAGTGTTTCCTGCTAATTGCAAAGTAGTCCACGTAGTCTGTGTGTTTCCAACTGAAGGGATCCATGTCAGGTTACTCATGTTTTTCAAGTCAGAAGCACCAACACTCGAAGAGCCAGAAAAAGACCAACAGTTGTCTAAGGAACTGGCAGGAAGCGTACTTATTGTTGTTAAAGCCTTCACTCCTACTGCAGAAGTCACTGGCATGCCAGCACTACTTCCCAAGTCTGTACTTTTGAGAACATTTACTGATGGGGAGCCATCCATGATGGAGAGTCTCACAGATGGGGTGCAAGTGGTAGCAGTGGCTGAAACGACAAAGCTTTCTTGAAATTCACTTCTAGAATCCTGCAACCTTGAACAGGACACATTCACCTGTTGAATTTGAGATGCCTCAATTGTAGCATTAGGAGGAAGAATGATGCCAGGTGTGACTGTTTTCTTTGTTAACTTGGTACTTTCTTGTCCATGTTTGGCTTGGGGGACATTTTGATCATTCTGTGACATGTTACTTGAGGAACAATACAGTTCTGGTTCTGTGCCCGAGCGAGAAGCCTTTTGTAAGTTGGCAGCAGCTGAACTAAGAAGGGCCTGCTCATTATCTGAGGTGGAAAGCTCAACAAGATTCCCTGCTGGAACTGGCTGATTGGATGCCAATGGAGAAACTGTGGTTTGAGACCATGGCTTGTTTTCTGTGGGGCAAATACCAGAAATAGTCACAGGAGACACTAGGTTGCAAGTTCTCTGGACTGGTACAACATTTGCTGTTTGTTTTTGTAAATTATTCCCAACATTGAAAGTTATTCCCTGGACAGGCGTCCCCTGGTTATTTCCACTGGGCTGACTCCCATTCGAATAGACAATGATGTTCTTTTGAACCTGATCACTGGGAATGACAACAGAGACCTTTGCATTTTTGAGGTTCCCTTTCCAGTGGATTGTGGGATCATCATACAGGCAAATGTCATTTGCTTTCAGGAGTTCTATATATCGCCCATTTTCCTTTTGGAGCTCATCTAGCTGTTTCCGGAGCTTTTTTATCTCCTCGGCTGCAAAACAAATGAGAACATACCATTAACATTGTATCCTTAAAACGTTGGGAAAGGCTATTGCTGCCATATGACTTACAAAATAGTTGCTATGTAACAGGATAAATACACGGTATGCCCTCTGAAAACCTTACTTAAAAAAACATATCTAGGTATAGCTCAGTCTCATCTCAGGCATGCCCCCTTCTCACCTGCTTCCTGCTCAGTTTAGCAGATCAGTCAGTCACTGTTATAGTCAGATTTGTTAATTTTTCTGTCTAAGCCATTTTAAAGGACTTAAATCATGTTACAAGTTCTAGACATCTGATTAATTTTATAAAGACTGAGAAAGGGACTGGAAAACTAATTTATCTTTTCTCTGTGCGGAAACGCCTATATATAATGTACTTGAAATGGTAGTGTTGGAGTGATGTAGCCTGTGATTACTGCGCAGTAGCGTTTCATGACACAATGCTGCTGTGCAGTAGTCTCGGGCTACTGCGCAGTCAATGTCATGAAAAAGCCATACAGCAAGGCTACAGTGCAGTTATTTAGTACTTGTTTATACAAGTATTAAATGATTGCACAGTAACAACTGCACAGTCAACATCTTGTGTAGACATGGCCACTGTGAACTTATTAATGGCAACATCCCATGATGCTGCTGCTTTAATTTGCCATAGTTAAGTACACAGATATGCATTAAGACATACCATCAACCTTCTTGTTTTCTAGTTACTCTGAACAGCCATCTCTCTTCTGCCAATCTCTCTTCTTGAGATTCCCCAATTTGTTGATCCAAATGAAAAAAAAAATCCTGATTTTGTTACTAAACTTGATAACTGAGAACAGGTATTAATGAGTGTTCTATGGTCAATTAATGCTGCAGGCAAGAAATTGTTTCCTTGTAGTAGTAAGAAATTTCCATTCTGGGTTCTAAAGGTGCTTCATGTCACTATGCTACATAGCCATGGGATTAGTAGAGAGAGGAGGGTGCTAACAAAGCTGTGCATTGCAGGGGAAAACAGTTCTGATTGGTGGGAGATATTTGAGCCACATAACACCCAGTAGAAAGGAGAAAAAAGAAACATCAAGAACCTTCAAAACATTACACACTTACCTTGTTCACTGTTCCCTCCATTTAACAGGAGTTCATCATTTTGCCTTTTCATTTCTGTTATATATTTAAAGGCCTGATCCAGTATCATGTTCTTACTCTACAAAAGAGCGTGTGGTATAATTAGGGGAAGGTTCATCACTGAACATTTTTAATCAAAAGCAGACTTACTAGTGACAAGACTACATATGTTTCCAGTGTAACAGCTTAATTGGAATCTTTATTTTAAAGATGTCCTAAACTCAGTTTTCACATTTTATTTTTTCTTGTATTTTCTAAACAAACAATCTCTCAAACTGCTTATTGCATAGTTATTGATTCTTTGAGATGCATTATCCATAAAACTCTAGTGAACATCCTACATGTAAGGTCAGTTGGAGCCGTCTGTAACCCTTCTGCCGAGCCTTGGTTGCAGTACAAGTGCTGAGTCCAAATTTGGCAGGTTTTGGCTCACGTCCCCACCCATTAACCTGGGAAAATTTCACCTTTACCGGAAGTCCTAGAAGAATGACTCCTCCATTTGTAAGCAATTTGGATACCAACAGTATATAAAAGTTTATAAATGTGAAAAAAAAAAACTGAACCATATAAAATATTAACAACTACTGAATACCTTCAAAAGCCTAATTACACCCCAAACAACAAGTGAAAACCCTCAGATAACAAACAACAAGCCCATGAGTCTTTTGGTGTCTGATTCTTTCTGAGAGCTTCCCCAACCTGGGAGGCTGCTACCTTGCCCAACAAAAGTGGGGAAGAAGAGTCTTTCTTCAGTTCCACTGGGGAAGATTTCATCCCACTGGCTTCCGCTTGGGACAGCTGCTGCTGGGGCTGGGGTGTGCTGCCTTACGTCACTTTCTGGCTCATCACTTCTCACCGCTTGGGAATGCTGCCTCTGTTGCTACTGTGGGAAGCGCTGAAGCAGGCTGCCTGCCACTTTTTGAACTTGCTGCTCTGCTGCTTCTCATGGTCAGGTTCACTACTGCTGCTCTGTTAGCACCACTGGGGTTGGCTGAAGTGTGCTGTTTGCTGCCCAGGGTTGCTGCTGAGAGTCCCCTCTCTTGGATTCAGGGCCTTATTAGCGAGGCAGCTCTCTCCATCTCTCACCAGTAAGGGCTCACCAGCCTCTGCAAGAATACCCTCAAAGGGGGACTTCACTCTAGGGTTTCCCTTGGGCTCTCCAATCACAGCCCTCGAGTTTCTTCTTCTTGGCCCTTCAGGGTGCCCTCACTCCTGATAGTCATGGAACCTTCTCCGCCTGTATGCCCGATGAGAATATGCAAATCCACGATAGAACAGAGCTCCAGTACGAGAGCACACAATCAAAAACATTACATGTATAAGCAGGGTTACACCTCATTCAATGGTGTACAGGCTACAGCAAGCCCAGACATCCCCTCAGTTCCTTCTCTCATAAGAACTCTGTCACTATTGGACTCTACAGAAAAGGAGGGAGGGAAGGAAAGGCAGCTTGTGGAATCCATATGGGCAAGACATCTCAAAGAACCACAGTTACCACAGAACATAATCATACTTTCTTCTTTGAGTGATTCTACTTGTAGTGACTGGCAAGCTATGACCTCGTCGTGGCTGATGCAGCAATTTCAGGACAGCTCTGTCCAAGTGGGTCTCTCATCTGGAAGTCTCAGTTACAGAATACTTCTGGATAAAAATTCTGCAATTTGGACGCTACTCAGAGAAGCCACTGGAGCTCTAACTACTAGTTGTGTGAATCAGGTTGGGGATATCATGAAGAGGGAGAATGAATTTCATCCGAGTTTTCTCAGGTGCTAAGTATTAATGGAATTGGCAGGTATGCTTTCATGAGCTGTAGCGTCAATGCAGTGAAAATGGTGTCCATTTGCTTAAAATGTCTCTAGAGAGAAACTGCATTCTAGTAAAAGCTTCTCTATGCACTATGACATCTTTTTCAGTTTAGACAATCATATTTTGACATATGTTTAGGGTATTTCTCTGTTGGTATAATCTTTAGAAGCACTTTAGATCCTTTGTGTAGTGCCATCACCATCTGCAATCCTGGGTCTGGGAGAGTTTAAAAACACTTAAATGCACTAGAACAAGCTTGACAGCATCGGCCAACTTTCTTAAATATTTAGTAATTTGTAGGATTCTTCTTGTACTACCTCCTTCAGCATCTCCAAGGTCTGTCATCTGTTGTAATAGGTCTTGGAAGATCTTAAAATCCCTACAGCTGACAGGAGAGGAAGGGATGACAGGCTCTCTGAGTAAGGAGGAAGATACTTGCTGTTGGAATCAGTCATCTTACTCCAACTAGCTTCCTTGCTACTATATTCCTACTGATGGAACCTAAGACTCTTCCAACTGACTTTCAAGTAGACCTACAACATCTTTCAGGTGAGGGAGAATTAACTGGGCAACAGTAAATAAAGTTGACCAGTTGGCTGCATATAACAAATCTTCTTGGCCTACTAACAGTAAGAGTAAGGAGTTGACTAAAATTGTTCCTGAATAGTCTGCTGTACTTCTCTGGGTCTGCTATACTTTCACTGGGAGGTTGTGAGCCTCCCAGTGAAAAAAAAATATCGGTACAGGGAGAAAATCAGCAGCACATGGTCTGCAAGTCAGATCTGGCCTGTGGAGCCATTGGACCTGGGCTGTGGAGCTGGAGGAGGGAGGGGCTTTGGTTGTGTTCCAGCAATGGGAGGTTCTGCCCATGCCCACACCTGCACCAGGTGGTGAGAAGCTGTACTAGGGCCAGACAGTTGGGAGCTATGCCCTTACCACTGCTTCTCCCCAGTCCCCAGGCTGTGGTATAGACAAAACATCTTCTACTGATGCTCCACCAAAACCTACTGAGCCTATATCAGACTGGGCCTGCATTGTTTCATCCTGTTGCTCAGAAATATTGCTGGCCACTGGTGCAGAGCAATAGACCACAGGAACAAAAATCATGAAAAGTGAGTGTTCAGTCTTAACTGAAGGACTCTGTTCAGTCTTAACTGAAGGACTCCTCCCAAATCTGAAAACAGTCACCCAGCACTAGAGGTCTTCTTTCTGTGGCCCTTTGGAGAATGAGTGATAGACTTAGCCTCAAGGATGTGAAGCAAGGGTCATGCAGAGTACTCACTGAATGTGATAGCAGCCTTGAAGGAGGGGGAAAGCCTTAAATCCCAAGGACTTTCTTTTGGCTATAACAGCTAGCGTCCCAGTACTAGCAGTATCCTACAAAACAGCTTCTTGGTTGTTTTGGTTTGTTGTTTTTTTGTTTCACGGTCTTTTCTTTTTTTTTTAAACAGTTGCTATGATCTCAGCTTCTCCACTACCATTGCACTGATGCAGTGACCTTTACTAACATTTTAATAGTAGCAATATTTAATTACTGAATCAGATTATGAAGAAAACTCATCAATTCATTATTGGTGGGAGTCTAAAGTTAAGAATGATGCTTTATGAAATCCGTGCCTTAATTCAACCACAAGTTACTGGGCTTTCCAAATGCAGAAGAAAAATGCCTGCAAAAGTAGAAAATACTTGATGAAATTCTGTGACTGTGTTCTGTAGAACATCTATTTAGATGACTACAGTAGTAATTTTTTGCCTTATAATCTACTACTCTGAGTCGTTCAAATGCTTTAAAAAAAGAATCAGGCCTTGCAACACTTAATGAGGTTGGTATTAGCCTCATTTACAGATGAGGAAATTAAGAAACAGAGAAGGGGAAGTGATTTGTCTAATGTCACATACAGTCAGTGGCAGAGCAGGGACTAGAACCCAGGAGTCTTGAATCACAGCCCCTTCAGAGACACCTCTTCTGGCATTTAACTGGGGATGAAAGTGATAAAGAAGGAAAAGGGAGTTTGATCAGAATATGCAATTCTGCAGTATTTCATTTTATCCTTCATCCTAATTGAGTTGCCTTGTCAAACTTCAGATTCAAACTTGATTGCTATTGGGTTTACATACTATTTAGTTAGAAAGTTAAAATTCCACAGAGAAAAACAAACAGTACATATACATAGCGTACTGCTACAACACTGATGACAAATGAATTTTTTGAGGATCACGATATGCTGTTCCTGACCAAATCAGAAAAGCTGTAAGTAGAAAAGAAGTAGTATACCCCTCAGCCTAATTCTTATAGCACAACGCAGAACTGTCTTCTCTGGGACATTCTATTAATGATCTCTTGGGTCAAGGCCCTCAAAGCATATGGTTTCCATCCATCCTACTGGAACACTAATTCATGGACTGTAACCTCAACACTGGATGTTTCTCTTCATAGTCAGACTTCAATTTCCCTTTTAATTCTACTTCAGTATACCTAGGGATATCTACAATGCTAACAGACTAGAAATATTTAGCTGGGCACAATATGTTCACTTTGACTTATTTAGGCTAGTAGTGTTTAACCTTTTGGTCCACAAGCTAGATAAGTAGTGTGGGGCTAACCCTGCACTGCCCTGGCCCCACATGCTCGGATCAGGCTCTTCGCCATCTTGGGCCTACCCGCCCATCTAGTATGCAGGGCCACATTATCTGCCCCATGGGATGTTTTTATTCTTTCCAGTTTAATCAGTTACTCAGTTCAGACTTGTTCATTATTGTTGCTAGTCCCTGAATACTCCACAGGATGCCAACATCTTTCTGTCACTGTCATCCCTAAAATGGAATGTCATCTTGCAGATGTGGTGGAAATAAAATAAGACTATAAAAGACTTTGGTCCATGATGTGACCTTGGCATATGAAGCCAGAAAGTGTACTGACCTTTTCTAAAATGATATCACATTGCAAACTCACAGCTCCTTTGCTACCTCTATTTCTCAAGTATCAATGCTTCCTAGGTTTTTCTCTCCTAGTGAGCACAAGTGTGCTGGAACCTTCCACTCTGATTGATCAGTTCTATTTTACATACACAGTAGAGGTTTCTCTTTAGTTATAAATGTATATTTAATTCTTAAATAATGGAGATGTTTTCTTCAAATTATAGGGGGGGAACAGGGAACACATACCAATAATTGAAACACAGAAAATAGTTTAAAGACTCGCAAAATGTTGAATCTTTAAAAGATTCTCCTAGTCAAAGACATCATAATGATGAGGCAAAGTGGTTGAAAGAATCTGGCCTTTTCCCTTTATTTCGCTAGGAAACCGTGAAGATCATTTATGCTGACCTTCCCCTAAATAGTCTGGGTTTTACTGGGGTAATCATTTCAGAATAAAGCCTGCAAGTTTCTGATCCTGAAATGATGCTACATGATTTGTATACCAAGCACTTCCACCAGCTCAACAGCTTGATATTCTTATCCTATAATGAACCTATACAAGTACCACAAAATGTCTGTTGTGCTGTGTTGCAAATGTCTTACTAGTAAAGAGAAACTCAAGGAGGGAAATTATCAAGAGAGAGTTCACCAACTCCGTAACTAATGTACTGAACAATTTCACCTCCTCTCCCTGCTCCCTTTCTTTCTCTCAGCTTTCTGCTGGCCACTGTCAATATCACTTGTACCTTTGTAGCGCATACCATTTCTAAAGCTTTCTATTGCAGGGAGTAGCAACTTTTTGCTGGGGCAGATTGGAGCCTGTGACCAACCTCCTGCCCCTGACTGCAAATCTCCACTTCCCAGAGCACCCAAGCCACTTAGCACTTACCCTTGCCTCCAACCCCTGCAGGAAGGGGGATGCTGAGGAGAAGAAAGGCCTGATCCAGTATCCAGAAAGCATGGTGCAGCTGCATGCCACCTAATCTCTCATGCCACCCTGGGTTGAGTCAGACCTTCACTGGCTGAATCCAACTTCTTCTGGGGCTGGATTCAGCCCATGGACCATAGATTGCCAACCTCTGTCCTACTGTATTTCAGCCTCATAAGCTATCCACTATTTAATTCTCACAAAGACAACTTCTCTCTTGCTTATATTTCTTCATTTCCTCTAATCATCACCATTTAGCATTTATACCGCCTTAAGAGCAATAATATTAAATATCATACAAAATAAACATGTTTACAGTTATATTTATATCATACAAGAGGACACTGAGTGATGATATAAAAATGGGAGAAGGGAAAGGAGCTTTAGAGAACTGTGAACCAGCTCTTCAGCAAGCTGATCAACACAAACAAGTAAACCAGCTTTCCCAAAAAGGAGGAAAAAATGTTTCTGCAGCTGGGTTTTTTTCAAAACCAATTAATTCATTTTGTCAATATGGACACACTATGGCTTGCCAGGCAAATGCTTTCTGAAAGTGCTTCCTGGACAATACTGCATACATGCATACATGAGCTAGGATGCTTCAGGGAAGAGTCATTCACTTGACAAACAGACAACTTTTCACAATGATACTTAATGTTCATTTAGCAGGAAACCCATATTTTGGAAAACTGCATTTGTATTGCTTCGAAATTTCCAAAAGCATTTCAGTCATAAATAATTTTGTACAACAAATTTTCATCCAAGGTTTCATTGAGTATATTATTACCGTCTTAGTTTGCTTCCTACACTAAGGGCTCCTACAGATATGCATGGAGCCTGCTCCAATGCGCTGGAAATCCAGATTAATCGAGTCTGCTGGAACATGGAAATTGACGTGTTCCAGCAGCCTTCCATGTTGCATGTATCAGCATCCCTGCACGTCTTTGCACTGAAAAAATGGCAGCAGGGCACTCTGAAATAAAACATGTTTGATGAGCTTTAGTTCAAAGCACCCCGTTGCCATTTTTTCAGCACGGGGATGCTGATACACATGATGCATGGGCGCTTTTAATTAGTGTAGCTTGCTAAGTAAAGATCCTGGCGCTGCATCCCAAACCACGTGTAAAAATGCCCCAAATCTGCAAACAGAGGTATCCCTCTGTTTACAGCTTCAGAGGACCTAAATGAGCACTACCTGGAAAATTGCCAGGCACATTTAAATGACTACTTACCTGTTTTGGTACTGTTGAGGTGATGTTATTGCCATGTTAGTCCAAGAAATACGCAAGAGGCAAGAATTCTTGTGGGTGATGTCTTTTATTGGACCAACTGTATGGTTGGGATACCCAAAAGCTTGCCTGTGTCTATCATAGTATGTTTTCACAAGGCTGTTTACCTGCTTAAGAGCTGGGGAACATGGAATGAGCTCTCCAATTCGATTTATCCCAGCATTGATCTTCTTTTTTCGATGTCTCTCCACTAAACAAAAATAAAATGCACCACTGTCAAATCAACAAAATAATTAGCAGGTCCAACACCAACCTGAGTACTCATAAATGTATTATTTCATGGTTATCATTACCTCTCATAGCATCTTAGGAGGTGAAAAGTATTCATTTCTAAAGTAACACCTCAATTACTGAAATTCTCACTCAGTAAAACAGGAAGGCAGTGACAAAAAGAGGTATTTGAAAAGGTGGGGATCAACAGGACCATTCATGGAGAAAAGGAAGTAGTGGCTTATCATAAGGCTGCATCCACATGAGCTTGCACATGTCTGTTGCAGCATCTCAAAGCAGTTTGAGATGCACTGCAAAAAAAAGCACTGGAAAAAAAGCAGCATAGGGTGTGCTCTCAGAACAAGAAGCAGCTCCAGAAGCAACTGGAGGCGGAGTCCTCCAAAGATACACCCTAGCACACAGCAGAGGGTGTCTATGGCTGCTGCATGCCCTTGCTGCTCCATCATGCTGCCTCAGCATGCTGGAGAAAAAAGCGAGGTCTGGCTGGCACCAGTGGCTCCAGAGCTGACTAGGACTCAACCTCTGTCCTGGATTGCTTCAGAGCCTGCTTGGCACCCAGGGTCTGTCCCAGGCCCAGGCACAGCAGCAAGATCAGGCAGGCTGCCTTGCAGCCATGCACGGGGGCCAGCTGTGCCCATGTCTTGGAGAACGATGCACCAGCGTCAGAGTCAGAAGACCGGGAGACTGGAGCAGAGGCCATAGGAGATCCTGGTAAGTAGGGATCTGGGTTTTCTGTTTCCCATAGGATAACATAGATTTTCTCTTTTAAAGGGGAAACTGTGCTCCCCGCACCACATACAACCCACCTCCTCCACAATCCCACCCCTTCTGCCCACACCCTGGGATGGGACCTGCTGGCAAGAACCACAGCCGTGCTGACAGCTGCTGCACTGCAGCCCTGGTGGGGGGGAGCTCTTGGTCCCAGGAACCACTTCGGGGTGGGTGACGGGTAGAGGTGACAGTGAGGTTTATTGGTGTATGTGATGGACCGGGGTGGCAGAAGTGAGCAAGCACATGATACACATATACAGGGGGATGAGGGGGGAAGGGATGTGTTCTGGGTTGGAGTGACTGCCAGAACCAGGCTTGGAGCCCCCCTGTCCCACCTAGGGCAGCTTGTGCAGGGGGAGGCCAGCCTGGAAGAGAAGGGGCTTGCCCAGCCTGGTCCCTGAGCCCCACTCAAGGGCTTCCCAGGAAGGGTGTGGGGAATTGCTGAGGCCTGGGCACAGGCACAGGGAGCAGAACTGAAAAGGCTGGCTGCTCAGAGCCACAAAACAGTGTCCTGCTATAGAGAGGGAGGGAGTAGGTAGGGGCAGTCAGGGGCTGTGGATCAGGAATGAAGGGCACAGGTGGGGGGAGGGCTGTGGGCTGGGGGTGAGGAGCAAGAGCATGGGCAGGGGCAGGGCACCAGCATATCAGTACTGCTCAGTGCCACAAAGTAGCTGTGGAGACAGCTGCAGCTGGACCCGCATGCTGGTGAGCAAAGCGGGCAGGGGGAACTCTAATTTCCTATGATAAGAAAACCAACAAGCAAATGCTAAAGTACATAGATATTTAGAATTACAGAATCACACAGATTCACAGAAGTTTAGGACTGGAAGAGACTTTGTGAGATCATTAGGTCCAGCCCTCCCTGCCCAATCAGAGTGCTCCGGACAGACAGTGCTTCGAACAGAAAAGGCATGTTATTATTATAGATCCTGAGGCATTTCAAACACATATGCAGGCAAGTCAGAGCTAAAATGAAGCACCAGGGCCTTCGCTGCAGAGAGGACAGCCTCCACCAAAGGAAAAAAAAAGCGGTGGAGCCCCCAGTGCTTCATTCTAGCTCTGAATTAATCTATCAATATATCAGTAAATACATCAATAAAGCACTGCTTAACTGATATATAGCTATTGAGTGGCATTTCATTTTTGGTTGCAGAAAAACACAGATTTTTGGGTACTGGTTAGAGAATTTGGGATTTTTTATCAGAGAATTTGGGATTCTTAAACAGAAAACCAGGATCCATGCTGGTGAGGCAAGTGGTGGGACCCAAGCAGAGGAGCCTGCTCAGGGCCAGCACCAGGGACCAAGCTAAAGGGCGGACGAGGTGGCTGACCTCCTGGCCATTTGGGGCCAAGTGGACATGTTCCAACATTTCAAAGTGGGCCACCGCAACAAGCATATCTTCTGGGCGATAGCTACTCAGATGGCAGAGTGGGGGCACTGAAAGATATGACAGCAGTGCCACACAAAGGCCAACTGTGCAGCCACAGCCTGTTGGCAGCTGGCCCAGAGGTGCAGGCAGCTCTGCTACAGTGCCCATAACATAGCCCAGGTGGCCATGAGGTCTCCATCTGGGTATGACAGGCACACAACCATGGGGCCACAGGTCCAAGGGGCGGATGCTGCGAGGCACAAATCTTTGGCATAAATCTGTGCCACTGCTACTTGAGCTGCTGCAAGCACAGGTACCTGCATCTGTGGATGCACCCCAAGGTCTCACTCTTTTATATTGCTATTCAGATGAGAGTTTCAAAGCTTGAGGGATTTCAAAACTTATCTCAAAAGGTACATAATGTTCGTTATTCTCATTTCATGGACAACCCAACTGGCCCAAGATCACACAAGCAATGAGCTGAGAATGGAATCCAAGTCTTCTAATTCTCAGCCCAGTATTTAGCCCCCAGACTAGATTGGATTAGAATTAGTGCTTTAACTGCTGAAAAGATAAAAGCACAGTGAACATATGGCAAGTTCTAGCTGTGTGGTGTATCAACCATGTATTCTTAACTTCTTCCAGGATAAGTAGTTATAGTTACACTGCAAGATCTAGATATGAGGTGCTGTGGAGAAATACTTTATGAAAATGTTTCCATATCATGGCCTTTAGGGGAAAAGAAAAGAAAAACCTGAATTAGTTTTAGTCCTTTTGTGACATGGTTCATCTCCTTATAACCATCTCCATTATAACTGTGGTAAGGGATTCGCTATAGTGATCTAAGCAAACACAGGAGGCTTTCCAGCTTGACCTTTTCAAAGTCTCTCTGCCTCACACAACAATCAGGTGCTCTCAAATGTGGCTCATCCACATAGCAGCAGAATTGTACAACTGCTGTTGTCACTAATTCTTGAAATATGTTTGATCTGTTACTCAGGGCAGTTGATAATTCCAAGACTTTACACTGTGCTGCTGTCATGGCATGTTCTGCAGCTCTGTCAACAGACAAACTACTAACTAGAATCTATTCCGACCAGTACACCTGTGTCACAGTAAGGGATCAACCTCTTACATTTCTGTAGAATTGCCATCAATAGCCCATTCACGTGGAAGTGGGGAAGCATGTATTTAGGTAGGCTTGCCCATAACTATACATATTTAATAAAAGTGGAAAAAGGTCTTACTTCTGCCACAACTGCTTGAGTTGACTTTTTTAAGTTATGTTTATCATTTCATGCTACATTTTTGATAATTACACCAAGAAAGACTATAAAGAATGATTTTTATTATAGTATTTGCAAGTGGACTCTTCTGAGATTTAGGCTCCATTATGCCAGGTACTGTTGAAACAAGGTAAGAGAAAGCTCCTACCCTTAAGAACAAATAGGTCAGGAAGACAAACAGTTGGACAAAAAGAATTACAGTTAGCCACATTTCACAAACGGAGAACCAAGGCACAGAGACATAGTTCAGCAAGGTGCTCAGGCATGTACCTAGGTTTAAGCCCAGTAGTACTTTGATAAAGTACATTCTGAACTGGGACCTCTGCAACTTTCCCAAGGTCACAGCGACATTAGAGATAGAAGAGAGTTCAGTTGTCAGTTCTAAGTCCCAGTCCAACACCTTAAAAACAAAAGACCTTCCCACTCTATGAAAAGTGAATCCAAAAAAGACCCACAAAAAGGCAAAAGTTAAAATAAAACTGAATACTATGGACCAAAACAAACAGTCATTTTCCATAGCATAATTTATTATCTTCCAGAATGCAGAAGCTACAGGCCTATATTTCAGAACCTATATAATTATATTATAATTAAAATAATTAGCTCATCTTTATAGCTCTCATAGCTATAAAGGGCAACGCCTAAAATGGATTTAAGAGTTCACCAAATAATGGTATCAATGGGCTTGATATTTCTTCATCATCCTTATTAATCAACTGCCTTGCAAGAAGAGCCTAAACTTCATCAGAAACCATAAAACAGTAAAGTTATTTCACAGCAAAAGCTACCCTAGCTCTGTCTGTACAACACCTTTTGCAACAGGGCACTGCTTCTGATAAAAGATTTGTAAGTGCTCCCTTATTCTGTATTCCTACATTTTATTTTAAATAGAACAACAATGCATTCAAAGATGACAAAAACTTAAGAAAAGTGTCACAACCCAATTATAATAGTGCCCATGTCACTGGCAAGAGATGCCATCCAAAACACTTTTAGTCCACACTAAAGCCAACTAAGGGTTAAAGAAAAATCCTTGTTGGTAACAGGGTTTTTTTCTGTGCATGCTAACAAAAGAGATTTATGGCTGCATCACAACCAAGAAATGAAACTTCTAAAGAAACGAAACTTAGCCCATGATTTATGATTGGTCAGGGAGAAAAGGGGTAGCCCTGCTACAAATCCCTAGAGATAATTGGTGATTCTAATTAAATTTATGACGTGGCGAAAAACAATTGGCTATCATACAAACAAAACCCTGCTGCATTTCCGCCAAAGTCGAAGACAACTCTGTCCGCACCTTGGAGTAAATCTGACAATTTGATCAGTTGTCAGCGTCTTCCTGCCGCGACCTTCCTGGCGTACCCTTGACCCGCATGCCCGATAAGCCGGCCCGTATATATGTCTGCAGACCGACCGAACGAACTCTAAGCTGTAACTAACTAAGTATATCTGACCTCTGTCTTTCACCACCTTGACGGCGTGAGTAAATAATCTTGCTTTGCAACCGATAAGCGTCCGCCTAATTAATTCCACTCCATGCGTCACAAGTACCCGCCTGATGGACCCTTAACTGCCCGGGTGGGAGTCAGGGAGAGCTGCTGGCCGGCTGCCCTGGGTCCCGACAAAAAGGTTTAGATGGAAATTTAGCAATTTTAAGTCTAGGGAGTAATGGGTAATGGATTCTGGCTGCCTGAAGGTAGAACTGTATCGGACTTTTGAAGGTAAGTTTATTCAAACCTAGCCTGCCTCTCTTGAGCCTGTCCTCTTCCTGCTCACCCCCAACCCCAGCTTAACCTACAGTCCGGCAGTAAGGAAAGAAAACTGCCTTGAGAAAGAGAAAAATCCTTAAGCCCAGATTGGCTTTAGGCAGGATTTCTGGGAAGGTGGTAGTGTTCAGTGAACACAGCAAGATATAAATCAGGGAGTTGATGTCACACTAATCCAGGGGAGGGCCACTTAATTGGAGTTTTGGTGAGCTGTTAAGGGCTGCAAGGGTAGTCCCACCCCCTGGTTGCCATCTTGGGACTGGAAGTCCTGCCCCTAACCCCTGACCTTTGCCATCAGAAGTCCCTTCCCTTGCCCCCCTGAAGTACCCTTTTGGGAGGGGAGGGTTATGATCTTGGAACCAGGAAAAAAGCATAGCATACATTAAAAGTGAAACACCTGCTATCATGTTTTAACTTTATTACAAAAAAATATTCCTGTCATGATTTGTGTTTGTGTACTGTATATAGAGGTGATTGCATAATAGCTAAAAAATAAAGGCTTACTCTTGTATGTTGTGTGTGGGAAGTGTGTATGGTGGGGTATGGTGGGTGTGTATGGTGGGGTGTATGGTGGAGTGCAGGGGGAATTGTGAAAGGACAATCAGGTATGTTGCAGGGAGTGTATCTAGAGCATTTTGAGGGCTCCCCTGCTCCACCCCCATCATGGGACTGGGGGCTCTGTGTGACACTACCTGAGGGCTCAGGGCTGGAAGGGCACAGCCCTGGGCCCCGCTGTGGACCAGCAGCATGAAACCCTTGGTGGCTTTTTTTCCACCAGCAGTAGAGCCCCCCAGTGGGTTTTCTCGATTGTGGGCACTGCGAGCACACCTTGTACGGAAGGGTCTGGCCAGGGCTCAAGCAGGGGTTGGACTAGACACCAGAGGACCTCTAGAGGTCCCAGGCAGCCCTGTTTCTCTGTGATTCCCCCCTCCCTCTCCCATTTCACCTCAGGCTGGGGTCCGGCCATGCCCTTGCTCTTGCTGCTTGAGCGGCGAGCAGGGGGAAACCAGGCAGACTCTGGCTGGCTCCTGCACTGGTGGGAGACAGGAGGGAAGGGGATTAGCTCCCCCCACTTTCCCCTCAGGTTATTGGCATCTGGCCACCCCCCCCCACACACACACACACTCCTGCTGTTTGAGCAGTGAGGGGGGCTCTCTGAAGCAAGGTTTCCCACCTCCAGCCCTTCTCAGCTAGCGGTAGCAGTGATAGTGCTCCAGTTACAGAGGAGAGGGGCTCCACTGAAGCAGACAGCACAGCCCAGCCCAGCCCAAGACTGCAAAGCATCTTGGGATGCTGGGGCACTGTGAGCTAACTTAAACCAGGAAGCAGTTTGGGACACAAGTCCCGTAAAACGGTTTGACCTAAATCAGTTAAATCTGATACTACATTCAACCAGCTTTATCTTAAACTAGTTTTGGCCATTTCTGTTCTGTTACAGATTTAAACTGGTTTCTGGTTGCTTAAAATGATTTGTAGGCAACTTCTGTCCCAAGCCCAAGTGTTCCACCTGATGCTCTGAAGTCTTTTCATGTAATGCATTCCTATAAAGGCATCCTTCCCCACTCCAAGTGTGCCAGGTCCTGCATGCTATTAAGAGCTCAAAGATAAATGCAGCTCCACTCTAAATAAAGAAAACCACAATAGTTCCTACCTGCGTTGTGTGTTTCCCGGTTTTTCTTTCTGCAGTACAAGAGAAGAGAAAAAGATGATGTCAAAACAGAAGAGTGATATGCAAGAATTATTTTTTCTTGTTTTAACATGGTTTCACAGAATCACAGAAAAGTAGTACTGGATGTGACCTATGGAGCTCATAGGTCACAACCCCATTTGAAGCAGGATCATCCCAATCCAAACTATTCCAGACAAACCCTTTGTCAAACCTATTCATAAAACTATACAAGTCAATTCTGTTGCACAGCTAGAAAAATACTTTGACCAAAGACACCCAAAACACCCTTTAAATTCAAAAAATGCTCTCTAGACAAGAAAAGGTATGAGAGAAACAGAAAAGCTAACTAAATAGCATTGGGATAAGAATTCCTGAAGCTGTAATGTCAGCAAACTGAGGGACTTCATGTCTTTGTAATTCATTAGCAGTGCATTGAACTCTGCTGGCTTGACACTAGCCCAGATGAGCACGGATTAAAAGCTGTTTCCATATAATGGATACTTAGTGGCCTCAATAGGAGAGGCATTTGATGGAACTCAGTTCCATCTTCCGTGTCAAAAATTCACCATCATGCTTTGCACTAATTGGGAGACTCAGCCTAAATATTAAGGACTGCATGGACCAAAGACACTGAACAACCCCTGCTAACTGTAGTCTAGAGGGAGATACTCCCAAAGACATGGTGGAAACATAGTGGCACGGTAATGCAGCTGAAAAACATGCCTGATAGCTGCTGCCTTGTAGATAACTGGAGGGCTTCAATCATATGGGTCATCAAGTCAGGTTTCTCCTGAATAGGTCAGCTAACAGTGCTAGCTGGTACTGCAGTAAGAGCTGGAAGACAAGGCTCTATAGCAGGAGAGGGCAACATATGGCCCATGAGCTGGATCTAGCCTGCTGAGAGATTCTGTCTTATCTTCAGTGAGGCCCTCGGATGGCCAAGCATGTAGTAGAGCTGGGCTGGCATGCTAGTGAGACTCCATTTCCTGGCAGCACCAGTGACAGTGACTCCATCCAGCTACTGCTGCCAGCCCCAGCCCCACTGTCTGGGCACCTTGACCTGTCTGCTCTGCACTCACCCCTGGAGGCAGGACCCGCATGGACAAGGTACTTGGCCAGGTGGCTTGAATGGGGCTACAGGCCTGTGGGGAGGAGACTCCAGGAGTGAAGTCGGTGGGTGGTGCCAGGGAGATGCCTGGATTTTGGGGCAGTGACAGTGTGGGGCCAGGGCCCCAAGACAGAGCCATGATCTACTTCTCTCACGCCCCTGCAACAGGCGCAGGTTCTGCAAGCAGGGACATGTAGGGAGTGGATCATAGCACTGCCCCAAGATCCCGGCCCTGGATGCAGCCCCCCACCCAGCCAAGCACCCTGCCCACACAGCTCCCAGCTGGTCTTCACGGAGACCCTGGGATCTTGGGATGATGACAGCACTCGGCCGGGGCAGAGCCGCAATCTGCTTCCTCCACATCACTGCCCACAGAACCCATGCTTGTTGCAGGGGTGTGCAGGCACCAGATTGCTGCTCTGCGCCAGCCCCACAGTCACTGCCCAGGATCCCAGGGTCTCTCTGGCTCTGCCCACCTGTGTCACTCCCAACACTATTTCCTGCCCACCCATGACCCCATCCTACATAGGGATTTCTGGTAAGCTGTTGCACACGGGGCTGGGAGGAGAAAGATGCTACTGACCCAGACCATGCAATGGCTCACCAAGACTCCCTATGATGCCCTCGGGCCCAAGTAACTGCCCAGCCCTGCTCTACAGTTTCCAGGTCAACACATCAGTCACCTGGTCTCAGATATTTACCGGTGCTGTTTCTTACTAGGAGTCTCATTTTCTGTCATCTCTGGCATGGTTTCAGAGAGAAGGGCCTAAAATGAAATGGAGAAAAGAATTCTAAATTATAAAACTTTTCAAAACTTTGTTAGCACAAATGCTAGCTGATTCAACTGTAAGCACAAGATCTATTAGAATGAATCTAAAAGTTCACTGCCTTAATTTATCGCAGCTTTAATTAGCGATGCACCAAAAGTGGAAGCAACTCCCTTCTCGTGCTGCTGTTTGACTGGCACAGATATGATTCCTATCCATTGTAAACAGATTTTCATTTTCTGAAATGTTGTTTTAGTAATAAATAAAAAACCCAAACACACCAAAATACCAAGCCAGCACTGCCAGACGGGTAACAATTATTTAATTAATATGCTGCCCTCCACAAGACCCAGGGTGGCTTACATGCAACACATGAGCCAAACCAGTACAAGCATCCCATGTAGCACATGGCAGATCAGGGAGGGAGCAGAAAATATATTAGCAGATAGGACAGGAAGCAGAAAGCAAAACAACAAATTTGGCTGGGAGCACAGGGCAGGAGCAGAGAGCAGAGCAACAGACTGAACAGGTAAGGAGAAGAGAGGGGTACTCAGGGAAGGTGCAAAGCTTAGCTTGTGATGTGCTTGCCAAAAAAACTAGCGCCCACTGAAGTAAGAAAACAAAATAACTTACAAAATAGGAGAACAAATGAGAGAATACATCTACTTGGAGTACTGCCATGAAACAGAAGCCTGATAATTATCATCTTTGCAGTTGAGTTTGATTTTCAGTACAATATACAATACATAATTACAAAAGTAGCCAAAAATATATGACAATTTAATAAAAATGTATGATAATTCAGTAAAGTCCAAAGACATTTTGCTGAATATTTGAAAGAACATTTTCATATCCAATCAAATTTCCACCTTCAGGTGAACCTGAAGTTGCCTTGGATTGTTCATCATATGCACAGACCTGTTTGGAAGTGTGTCACACACATAACTGTGCCTGTAAAGTCAAGTGTGTAGCAATAGTAGCATAAGCAACAGTGTTTATAAAAATGCAATTTGATCAATCAGGTAATCAAAAAGGAAAATTACGTATTTCAGCAGGGTGGAAGGAAAAGGGAAGGTCTCAACTCCTTATGCAGTGGTGTCAGAAAATAAGATGAAATTAGAAAATGAATCTAATGTTTGAATAAATAATGTTTGAAAAAATGTTTGAATAAAGAAAAAGAATAATAATACTAAGCAAAAAAGCTTAAAGTCACACTGAGTACCCTTTTCAAATAAATTGTATGTCACTGCCAACACAAGATACAGACAGATATACCATTTGTAGCTGGAAAAACTGTCACAGGGTTTGAAGCAGACAGAACAGTCCTTCAGGATCAGACTTGCAAGTGTTATCAACTAGTGGCAGCATGTTGTGCTGCTGCTCCACCACAAGGGCTGCTTGCAGACGTAGGGAAAAAAATGCTTGGACCAGGCCCCCCCAACATCTGTATAGATCAGGTACTTTAGCGGGGCTTTTTTGATGCTATTATATAATAGCTGATTGAGTCAGTTCTTAGCTAAAAGTGACAAAAAGCCCCGTTGAAGTGCCTGCTCTTTACAGCCACTGCAAAGCCAGGTCAAAATAACACACTGCTTCTTCTGATAAAGCTAGATTTGTTTTTGTTTTGTTTTAAAAAAACATCTGCAAGCAGCTATGGTGACCAGTGGGAAGACATTCCAGCATGCCACATGAGGGCCCAGTCTCCAGAGGTTCCCCAGGACTCCTGAGCAAAGTCCCCACTCTCCCCTTGTGCTGGGAGGACTTAACTTCTGCTCCAGATCTCTGGGCTGGCAGTGCAACTGCCAAGCTAGCACAGAGTAGATCTGTACCACCTGTTTGTCTTCATAGATTCATAGATGTTAGGGTCGGAAGGAACCTCAATAGATCATCGAGTCCGACCCCCTGCATAGGCAGGAAAGAGGGCTGGGTCTAGATGACCCCAGCTAGATGCATATCCAACCTCCTCTTGCAGACCCTGGTTGCCCAACACTAGGGAAATTTTGACCCTGCTGCACCAGTTGAGGCACAGAGTAAGGCTCTATGAAATCAACATGGCTGACACTGCCAACCAAAAACAAACTCTTTTGTGGTCCATACAGGTGCAAGGGGGCATGAGTGGGTGCAGGGGACTAGGGCTTTCGGGAGAGAGAGAACAGGGAGAGAGGTCTGAGGGCTCATGGTCTCTCTCGTGAATTAAGGTCTGCCAGCTGGTTTGTCCCAGCACACCTTTTATGGAACCTTGTGCAGTTTTATAGTATTTTATGCTTTATATCATGTTGGCCATATCATCCAAATTAACCCCATTCTAATACTTTATTAATCCAGTAATGACAAAGTATACCTCTCCTTAGCAAGAATGGGTATTATTAAAGAGAAGGCAGGGTAACTTTGCACCTTTAGGCCACATACAAACAAGCGCAGCCATGCGGTATGTGCTGAACGTACATACCACACATTCAGCTGTTCTCCATGCAACCTGTCCCCACCTCTGCCTGAACAAAACTGATTAGAGGAAGGACTTACAAAAGACAATGAAGATGCAGTGGGAGACGCATCTAAAGCCCTCCCGACAAGGGTGATAGGAGTGAAGCAACTCCCCTTGTCTCATTTCCATGGGAGATGGGACAGGAGAGCACCTTCGTTAGCATTCAGGATAGAGAAGAGAGATTCCAAGGCAAGGACCGCACTGAACTCTAGGACTAGAGAAGCAGGGGAACACTGCAGGGGGAGGGATCCCTGCTCCAAATGCTAATCAACCCACATCTACACACACCCAGCTCAGCAGTTACTACACCAATTCTAGTAATGACCAGGGATCTGGATTTTCCATTTCCCACAGAAAACCGGAGAAAACCACAGACTCCCTGTTTTTATTGGAGAAAACGGATTTCTCTTTTTAGCAGAGAAATCCGCGGATTCTCCGCTTTTGCAAAGAGCTCTTGCAGACTGGCACAGCTCCAGCCTGCAAGAGCCGATTTGCAAAAATGGCAGGAAACCCCCAGCCCTGGCCGGAGGGGGGGGGAGGGCAAGGCCTGAGCCTCCAAGGCAGCCAAGACTGGGCTCAGGCCCACACACCCTTCACCCCTGGAGCATGGAGGTAAGTAGAGCTGTGAGGCAGGGTTGGGGAAGATGGTTGGGGGCTGAGGGAGTGGGGGGTGCTGCCAGCCCCAGGTGGCACATTGCAGCTGGGAGCAGGGCCAGGGGGTGAGGACAGGGGTGCCCCTCTGCAGGGGGGCTTTGCAGGCAAGTGATGTGGAGCACAGTGCGGTGGTGCCCACCATGTGCGGGCTGCCCACATGCCATCTGGGCACCTGCCCAGGGGAGGGGGAGAGGGAAGCTGGCATGTGGCCGGAGCACAGCTCTGTGGCTGGCTCTGCAGCCATGGCGAGGGATGGAGGTGCAAGGGGTGGGAAGAGGCTCACAGGCGGCAGCTGCTGCCACTTATCTGGATGGCTGTGGTCGTGGGGGAACGCGGCGGGTACAAAAACT